TCGGTATATACGATCAATATCGAATGTTCATGGTACGTGCTAAAATATATACATATTTTCTCTGTACGAATAATTTTAGAATATATATTTTAGTTGGAATCGTTAATGTCGATTGATTGGAAGTACACGGCTATCGGTTGATAATTGTCGAAACTACGAGCCTTGAACGCGAGCCGCGAGGTAATCGTCGTGTGTCTCGATTTGTTAACGATAACAACGACAAAAAAAATTGTTAAAAAATCGAGGATAATCGGAAAATTGTTAGACGAGGAAACGATACGGGGAAGAAGGATGAAGAGACAGACGGTTTGGAAAAGTGTGTCGTGTGCGAGTTTTAGAGCGAACATCGATGAAGAGCGAAATTCAAACGAGATGGCTGGTCAATGGCTGAAAGAGAGGGCATGCCTGAAAGAGGATATAAGCGATGTACAACGCTGCAGGAAGTAGGTAGTGAATCGCGGCTGTAATAAAACGGAACTCGTTTTCTGACCTCTGGCCATTTAATCGCCACGGTGAATTTCGCCTTGGACAGAGGACTTGTGTGTATATGTGCGTGTGTTGATCATGTCAAAACTGATGGTATCTTACAAGCATTCACAATTCGATGCTTTTTTGAAATGAAATTATCATTCGTTTAAAGAGAAACTTTGTGCAACTATTATTCTTTTAGATATTCTTCGTTCCACCTTCTACGAAGAAGAGGTTACCCAAATGATTATTAGTTAATTTTAGGAAAATAACGATTGCAAGTTATAATATATTTATAGCACGTAGTAACCGAAACGAATGCGATTCGCTCTCAGAAAATTTGAGGTTAGAAAAGTAGCGTCAATGTCAGCCAGCAATTCGAAACTATATAATAAATGACATTTCTTCGTAATTTTTCTTCGCTTGTTGGTTTTTTCTTCTTCTAATTAAAAATAAATATGGAATATAAAACAAACTTTGATCCGAATGGCCATGATGGTCCAGGATTCAGAAAATGTTTTTTTATTATTATATATATATATTATAATTAGTATCCTTTTCTTATTAATTAATTCACCACTTTTCATATAATAACGATTTACCGTGATAACTCGAGAGAAAGACGAAACAAGTTGCGATACAATAATTCAATTCGATTATCTCACCAAGTGTTCGGTATCAGAGTTGTAACAATAAAAAAGTTCTAAAATCTATAAATTGCACGAACGTTCCACGAATCTTGGAACGACGAATTACCAGGCGCGCTAATTTTACGAGGATTCGAGCCGCATAGCATTCGAACCTCTCGTCGACTCGCTTTCGCGTTTCAAGAACTTCGAAACGAGTTTCCCCGGTAAAACGTCTATTCGTGTATCGCGTTCACGTTGCAAATTGCGAGGAACAAGTGGCGCACGCGAAGGGGCCTAGGCAAAACCGAAAGGGAATGAGTTTTTAACAGTCGCGGTAAAAGCGTTTGTGGCCCTTTCTCCTTTCGAGGAAGCCGTTCCGGCCAACAAAAATCCCGAGGGGATTTCATCTTTTGTCGGTGAAATTTCTCGTCGATAGAACGCTCGTCCAGTTCTCTACGATAGCCTTTACCCCCCGTAAAAGTCCGTTTATCATGAGTAATCCCTACGGAATTTCGCTTCGAAAAGTGGCTTTCCTGCGAAACGGCTGTCCGCCGGCGATCCTCGTCAAACTCGAACCGCGCATGCGCTCTTCTAAAGCCCCCCTCCTTCCCCCCCCCTCCCTCGTTTCCTTTCTTCCATGGACACTGGGCGCTGCAACGTTTACTGGAACACGGCCAAAAGGAAGGAAAAACCCTTCATCCTTTCATCCACGTTTTCAAAGACTCGTGTAATATTCGTGGAAGCCCGCTTTGTGACGCGCCAAAACTTTTTTTCGGCCAAAAACGCCGTGAATCCCCTAGACCGGAAGATGAAAGACTGGCCGACCGTTCGCTCGCTTCGCTGTGGCGGCCTCTCCCCTCCCCAAGTCCCTTTCCCAATTGGAATCCCCAATTGCTCCTACGCTCGAGTCCCTAGACGACAGTCCTTCTCGATCATCGCTCGATCTTGGCCAGAGAAACACCGATAATGCGAGTAACCTTCATCCGGTGGACCGTTACTCTGCCCTGTCGGGCCCGCCGGCTACGGTTATCCAGGTCTCTGGGTCCCCCGATCGTCGCGACACAGAGGTGAGGACGACGTCTCGAGATCCTCCTTCTCCGCACACCTACTCTCTTACATCTTCGAGCACACCTCGAATCTCGCTGAATCGTTTCCTCGAGAGAGAGAGAGAGAGAGAGAGAGAGAGAGAGAGAGAGAGAGAGAGAGAGAGAGAGAGAGAGAGAGAGAGA